TGCCGGCTTGTTGAGCTCTGGGATGGAAACCTTTCCACCCAGTTCTCCCCAGTGGTCAGCCCGGCGTATCTCTGACTCAGAAGCTCTGGTGTTGTACACAGTTAACTCCGGTTGTAGCTAGGTTGCTACCTCCGTTAGCTTAGCTCCCACCTCCGCATTAGCTTCGGGTTAGCTTCAGGTTAGCTTGTAGCTAGTTCGACCGGGCGTCGTCAGTTGATCCCAGCCTTACAGCCCCACCCTCAGCTCCTCCTCTCTTCCCTTTTGTGGAATTGTCTTGACGGAACCTGTGACACGGTCAAAATGGCGGTGGTGGCCACCTCCCATTTTAGTACAAAAACGTATTATTGGAGTCTATGGAAACCCATTGTCCATATATGTATGTCGATGGTGGCAACATGAAAATAATTTTATTCTACTGAAAACATAAACCTTCGTTTAAGGAAAGATCATCACCTTCATCATTTATGCCGGGGACGGGTGGTAAGGCCGTCTCATGTTGATGAGGCCAGGGATAGTTTTGGGGTGGGGTGCCACACCACATGGGTCACTGTGGTAGAGTTCAGCCTGCAGCTGTGCATAGCGCTGCTCCTTCATCGTTTCTCCTTACCAAACAAAAGGCCTAACACATTTACCCCACACTTAAAAAACACAAGCATTTCTGGAAAAAAATCTGTTATTTTGGGTAATTGTTTCACATTTAATCGTTTTAGAAATATATAAACAGTTTCATTTACTGTCTCAACAAAAAAGCCACAAAATCCACTAAAAGATTAGCCTCTGTGACGGCATATTCATTAGATAATTTTTATTCTAATTTTATTAAAATATCTATATTTATTGGCTTGAAAGTGTATTTCTAAATTTGAGAAAACAAATGTATGCCTGCATGACCATGAATGTAATTGATTAGGGTGGGTGAGGGGAGGTAGTCTTCTCTGAGGGGGCCAGTGGGGTGGCAAACAATTTTCTAGGGGTGGTCATAGCCCCCTTGGCCCCTCTTGGGAGTGCCACTGCTGCATCCTGATGTGATAACTGAGTTCACACTTGTGTGAACAAACTGAACCAAAGTGGGAAATGGATCAGGTTAATCCAGACTGCAAAGGTGCAAAAACCCTTACGCAGAAAACAGAACCCCACCTGGTTCCAGAGAGGTTTGGGATTTATAAAATAAAGAACATTGATGTTTTATCTCCACGTGAACATTGGTCGGTGGAGAATCTGAATGCAGACAAACTATCCTGAGGCAGGTAGATGTAGGCGATGTGGTTTAATTTGTAAATGAAACAAGAACATTACAGTTGCCGGAAAGAGAATTAAATCAAAACAAGAACCAAAAACCAACCAGTTAGAAAGTGAACCTGAGGCTGTTTAGAATGACCTTGGCTGAAATAACTGAATTACCCCCATAAAACTGAAGAAGGGTAGAATGCCTTCTCCAGGTCAGGGATGAGGTCCTGCCCCAAGTGGAGAAGTTTAGGTATCTCGGGGTCTTGTTCACCAGTGAGGGAAAGATGGAGCGTGAGATCGATAGGCGGATTGGTGCTGCACCTGCAGTGATGTGGGCGTTGTACCGGTTTGTCGTGATGAAGAGAGAGCTGGGCCCGAGGGCAATGCTCTCAATTTAACGGTCGATCCACGTTCCTACCCTCACCTACGATCATGAGCCTTGGGTAGTGACCGAAAGAACGAGATTGTGGATACAAGCTGCTGAAATTTGTTTTCTCCGAAGAGTGGCTGGGCTCTCCCTTAGAGATAGGGTGAGAAGGTCGGTCATCTGGGAGGGGCTTGGAGTAGACCCGCTGCTCCTCCACATCGAGAGGAGCCAGTTGAGGTGGCTCGGGCATCTGGTCAGGATGCCTCCCTGGTGTGATTTTCTGGTCACGTCCAACCGGGAGGAGACCTAAAGGGAGACCCAGGACACGGTGGAGGGACTATGTCTCTCACCTGGCCAGGGAACGCCTTGGGATTCCCCCGGAGGAGCTGGCCCAAGTGGCTGGGGAGAGAGAAGTCTGGGCGTCTCGGCTTAGGCTACTGCCCCCGCGACCTGACTCCTGATAAGCGGCTGAAAATGGATGGATGGAATCTGAAGATATTAGCATTAAAACTGAGAAAACGTTTTCATAACACTGATCCAAACTTTATTCACACAAAAGTATTGCCATTTATTCACAAACGCAACTATTTATTTCATTTTTGGATACACAACACATCTTCTGAACCTTTTTGTGCTGCTGTCAGCGTCACTGCCTCTGTAAACACTCCAAACATAAAATAAACCAGTCCATCCATTTTCTGTAAGTGTTTGGTTTTATTAATTATGTGAAATAGTTTTAAAAAGTCCCTGTTTGTGATGTCACAAACGGGGATGATAGCCTAGAACCACCTCTCACGTGAACGAGAGAGCTGCTGCTGGAGGAGCAACAGCTCTACTCTGAGTCCCTCTTGGACATTTGAGCTTCTCAGCTTATAGTAGCTTGAGCAGGGGTCGGGTGGGCGTGGCAAGCTCCAGCTTGTTTTCTTAAAGTAAGAGAGCCCTAAAACAGCATCCTGGCCAGCCAGACTCGTCCTCTGTTTAATTCTACACAGAGAGCTAGTCTGGTTACTGACAGCCAGAGAGGCATACGAGGGGCGGGACTAGCCAGCTCAAAATTAACCAATCAGGAAAATGCAGAAATACCGACTGTACCGCAAGACGCTGTAGTCAAAAACGGCGACTGGCGACAGCGCAAACATCTTTCTTTAGCAGAAAGAATTTTAGTGTTTCTCCTTGTTGTGGATTTAAAGACGTGTCCAAGTCATTTAGAGCCGCAGCGAACTCCGCTTCAGTCTTCGTTGTTCATGAGAAACTGGCTGGTCACGCTACTGAAACGACTCATTCTGGAAGAACATGTCAGGAACAAAACTTCTGACACCTCTTTAAGTGAGAGGGATTTTAAGCAAGGAGTTTTATGAACTTTGACGAGGTTAAAGACCATAGAACTATTAGAACTTAGGGTTGTACAACACCCCAAGGCGCTTTCACCCATTTACATGCTGGTGGGGGTGAGCTATGGCGTGGCTGCGGCTGCCCTGGGGTGCACGGACGGGGATGGGGGCTTGCCGAGCGCTGACGCCGCCGGTCCCTCCGACCACTGCCAGAGGGCAAGGTGGGTTGAGTGTCGCAGGGACACAACAGCAGCATTCTCTGATTGGAGCCGGGATCGAACCTGCAACCTCCTAATTACTGGACAACCCCGCTCTACCTCCTGAGCTGTCCTCCCCTAAGAAAACACATCACAAACATTCCTCTCTACTGCTCAGGTAGAGGGGAAGATAAAGCACATTCAATTCATCATTATTCTCATTAGTATTTCCTTTAGTCAGTCACCACAATGGACAGGTTCTAGGTTCGTTCTGTTAACCTGCGTGGTAATATCTGAGTTGTTGTTTTATCCTCCGTCCGCCTACTGAATAAAACAGAACATTAGAACATTATTTAATGCTGCAGCGGAGCGTAAATAAATAAATAAATAACTTTAATGAAGAGTGCTGCATCTAGCATCTGAGTATGATGTTTGAAACTGGCTCTGAAACAAACTCACAGCTCTCATGGGTGCTGGACCCCAAACCTGTCTGACTCAGAGTCTGGCCTTCCAGGGATAAACTCGAAGCAGAGTGACCCCTTCTGGTGGATTAGAGAACTGCAGCCTGTTCTGTTTCCTCCTGTCACACCAAGCAGCTGCTCGGGTCTCAGTGGAAGAATAAATCAATAAGTGAGTCAGCAAACAAACTCAGGCCGAGTCCCCGACCTGGCTGCAGCTTTTATTATTGCGCTCTGATGAATAGTTTGCTGGATGTTTGTTTGTATGTTTAAATGATTGATTAATTGATTGATTGATTTTTCCTTCAGTCTGAAGGAAAAATCAATCAGCTGGTTTGTCATTTTTGAAAACTAGACTCTTAAGGAGGCTGATTGTAAAATAATACCTCAATCAAACACCAGCTGCAGGTTTTCACACGTATGGCAATAAAATACGAACCTTTTTAAAGTCACATTTATGCTTATTTAGCAAATTAGGGAATTGTGTTTAATGTTTTGGAATATTTGATCCTACCATCAGTGTTTAACTATTGGAATCTGATATAAACAGAATATGTAGCTAAGGTGAGGTGAGTGTGTGAGGAAAGCACCTGGCCATAGATACATCTCCAGTCCTCTTTGATCTGTTCACCATGGATCATTAATCAATGTTGATGTTTGGATGCTCCTGGGCCGGCACGCTGATAAATAATCTATGATTAAACAGAGTCCCACTAATAATGGGACTCTGAAGCGTTAGATAGGGAGTCTCTTCACTCTGAAGCAGGGATCTTCCACTTCACATGAATCCGACTTTGTAGATTTGCAAATGATACATATTTGAAAACAATAACTGGATTTCATATTTATGTTTCTGCACATAAATGTTACTTTACACATTTGATTTTAAATATTTAGGTTAAACTTGACTGATTTGGGTTTAATTCAAAAATATTTAGATGTAATATTTTATATTGAAGGCTGAATCAAAAGTTTATATCAGTTTATGCATTTGAAGTTGAATGTAAATGTTTGGTCATTCATACAATTTAGTTTGAATATCAGGTTTTTGCAGGTGCATATTTTCATGAGATTTGATTCTAAATACTTGGAATATTCTGGATAATTTACGGGTTTAAATGTATATTTTATGATTAGACATCATTCTAAATATTCAGACTTGGTTGGATTTCATACCAAATATTTATTGTTTTTTTTTTCTCCTATATTAGGATTTTATTCTAAATATTCGTTTTTACCATTATTTTTTTGAAGAACGCGGTTTGTTAGTGTGTATTAGTTTCCAGGCGCAGCTCCGTAACTTCCACCCTGAATAAACGCGTATGTAGCTGGATGGCACTTCTTTGGAAGCTGTTATTTAGTTTTTACGCAGTTTTTACGCTCTGGTTTCTCAGGAACATCCGCTGCAGCGTATTCGGATCCGCTGTGTGTGTTTATGGATGCTGATTCCTGGCGTTCTCCTTTCGTCTTCATTGGAAATGAAGGACTGACGCACCAGAGGGAGTTCGGTCCGCTTCTCTCTGCCTTCACCGAGCTGCGGGTTCCGTGTTCCTGCTCACCGAGCTGTGACGCGGACGAAGAGGTGGGAGGGGTCCAACGCGCGTGCTTAAAAACTCGGCTCCAAGGCGAAATCCAGACAGAACCGCGCTGCAGATCAGCAAACAGCATCGTACCGACCTCTCCTCCTTTACGCACGGAGACACGACCAGTCCGCGCGCTCGGAAACAACTCAAACATGATCAAGAAAATGTCTCCGCCCGAGAGCGAGTATGACATCCCGGCCAAGAACTGCTACAGGATGGTGATTCTGGGCTCCACTAAAGTAGGGAAAACGGCCATCGTGTCTCGGTTCCTGAATGGGAGGTTCGAGGAGCAGTACACCCCGACCATCGAGGACTTTCACAGGAAACTGTATAGCATCAAGGGGGAAGTTTACCAGCTGGACATACTGGACACTTCTGGGAACCATCCCTTCCCCGCCATGAGGAGACTCTCCATCCTCACAGGTACGCACCACTTCTGGGCTCTATTGGTTTTAGGAGATGAAAACAGTGCTGCAGAGTCAGGCTGTGCGTAATGCCACCGTTTATGCGCAAATTCATGTTTTACTCTGCGAATGCTGTGCGTCTGTAGCGCACGGCTGCAGCGCGCATCAGTCACGAGATGCACCTGTGCACAGCGACCGCGCGCAGGTCAGAAAGTTAACCATCTCTTCTCTTGTCTCCCCCCAGGTGATGTCTTCATCCTGGTCTTCAGCTTGGACAACCGCGAGTCCTTCCAGGAGGTGCAGCGGCTCAAGCGGCAGATCTACGAGACCAAGTCGTGCCTGAAAAACAAAATCAAAGAGAACATCGACGTGCCTTTGGTGATCTGCGGGAACAAGGGTGACCGGGAGTTCCACCGGGAGGTGCAGCAGGAGGAGATCGAGCAGCTGGTGGCCGGAGACGACAAGTGCGCCTACTTCGAGATCTCCGCCAAGCGCAACGAGAACGTAGACAAGATGTTTCAGACTCTTTTTACTTTGGCCAAACTACCTCACGAGATGAGTCCCGACCTGCACAGAAAAGTGTCCGTGCAGTATTGCGACATGCTGCACAGGAAGTCCCTGAAAAACAAGAAGATGAAGGACATCGGGGAGGCGTACGGGGTGGTCACGCCGTGCGCGCGGAGACCCAGCGTGCACAGCGACCTCATGTACATTAAAGAGAAGGCCATAGGAGGCGGGCAGGGCAAGGACAAGGAGAGGTGTGTGATCAGTTAGAGGTGCCCGGGGAGCAGACGCTGCTGAAGTTATTGTTACGGGAGGAAGGAGCCTGGTGCGTCACTTTGAGACGCGTCCAGCGCAGCCGCGTGCGCTCACACTCACTGTGGGACGTTCGGAGGTGCCAAGGACCGCTGCAGCGCACGCGCGCACCGTTTCCAGGGACACTGCCCGCGCGACATTAAAGAATGTGAGCTTTCTCTGTCAGTCAGAGCCCGTGTGTGACGTGGCTTTGTGAGACTCGCGCATTGATGCGTAAAATCCGTGCTTTGACGTCCTGCCTTTCCCAGAGACTCAGGAGGTGCGATGTGAGCTCCACATGCTGTTTACATGCGACTGTAGACTTTATGAAGGCTAAGTACACTTGAATGTTTTCTTGCAATCTGGATTATTTTTTATTGTGAATGCATTATTTATTGTCAGTGCCAATTTTTGCAATGAAGTCAAAGAAAAACCAATAAAAATATGAAATCAAACACGGTTAGCTCCTTTTCTCTTCTCCCTGAGATGTGATCGTCCAAAATGTCAGTAGCTGATGAAAGCATAGCTAACCCCCAGAGAGTCAAATGCGAAAAAGAACATTTATGTGACGGAACTTTGCGGGATATCATTGCAGTGGAAAATAAACAGTTCTTGACTTTATTTGTTTTGCAGAAAATTCAAACAGCTTCTGCAAAACTAACATTTCTGCTTCTAGCCGCAGAAAAGAATCAGGAAACTAACTTGGGAAAATCAGTCTTCAACTTGACAGAACAGCGTTTTCAGGGCTGTTTCAAAAGAAAACTAAAATCATTCTGGTTAAAATTAAAGTGGAACATAAAATCTGGAAGACTGAAACAAACGAATAAATGCTCTAATGACACTCATCAGTAAAAACCCTTATGATTGTGAGGTCCTTATGTCAAATTAAAATCCTCGAGGCACACATTTTATTACAAAAGCTGTGAAATGACACCTGATGGACATTTAGTCCACTCTACAGAGCATGATCTTATCTTTCTGCATCACTTGAGCCTGCTTCAGAACATCTGAGGTCATCCAGACACAGCAAGCCTCATCAAAGCCACAGAGTGTGTGTGTGTGTGTGTGTGTGTGTGTGTGTGTGTGTGTGTGTGTGTGTGTGTCAGGTACATAGAAGTGTGTAAACAAAGCAAGAAGAGTTGTATAACACAGGATTGAAAGTTAAGGTTCTGGAGCACACACAGAATAACAAATGATTGCATTCCTACATTTTATAACATTAAGCTGAAAATGATAATGTTTCAAATTGATATTAAAATCAAACATATACAGCAAAATCTGCAGTGTTAATATTAGTCAAGGTGAGTACATTTTACTCAAATAGAGTAGAAAGTACTCTGAAAAAGAGTACATTTGGTCACACACACACACACACACACACACACACACACACACACACACACACACACACACACACACACACACACACACACAAATAACACGAAATAATTTTTCGGGTGTCGCACGCCCCCAAATCCCTAAAATGCATAGAAAACTATGCTGTCATCATTACGGTTCTTCTATCCATATATCTATCTTTTCCTTTGATCCATTCCTTTACCCTCTGTAGTTACCCGGGCTTGGGACCGGCACAAATGGGACAGCTTGTTCCCTATTGGGGCTGCATTCATCTCTCTCTCTCTCTCTCTCTCTCTCTCTCTCTCTCTCTCTCTCTCTCTCTCTCTCTCTCTCTCTCTCTCTCTCTCTCTCTCTCTCTCTCTCTTTTCATTTTTAAATTTTTAAATGTTTTTATCTTTTTTATGTCTTGAATATATTTTATCTATCCTATCGGTCTATCCTTTCATTTTTAATTTTATTTTTTATTTTACTTACCGTAAATCCTCTAATACAGGCCCGGGCCTGTATTTGACTCAAGCTCATCAAGCTCCAGGCCTTTATTGGAAGGAGGGCCAGAATTAGAGGCAGGCCTCTATTTCTATTTGAGCAAAATGAACTAATGGTTCGCTGGAGTTTTTGACAATTAAAATAGCGCCCACATTTTCAAAGTTAAACACATTTCTTTTAACAACGGTAGTTTCTGCTTCAGCCATCTCCCCCCTCCCCCTGCGCAGCGGCCGCAAACTCACTGATGCGCCTGCAGCCTCTCAGAGTTCCTGCTGCTCTAAACATTAAAATAATTATTTCATTTTCTGTTCTTCACTTCTGATTACCTTCAATGGTGTCTGTTTGTTGCAACCACCAGGTACAAAAACTAATTTGTTTTTATTTGACTATTTTTCTGTCCTGCCTGTTTATTATCTTCCTGCATCTCCTCTCAATCCTAAAGAGAAACTGCTACCTGGGTTCATATATATTCACTTTATGAGTTACCTTTGAACTGCAGTTCTAAAAGATCTACCGACCGCAAAAACAGCGGAGTGCTCGCTGCTTGCCGGCCACGGGAGGCAACGCGCTGTGCCAGAGCGTCAGTACTGACGCCCGCCGTAAAACGGACATTTAACCAAATTGTGACCTTTACCCTCTTGCAATTTAACCTTCCCCTCACCCCCACCCTAGCCTTAACCAGCTTGCGCATGCAAAGCTCTGATCGTTGACGCGCTCCAGACATCTGCGTCCTGAGCACGGCCACAGTAACATTATCAAATCAGGTGTCGCCACCTCAAAAACTAATTTAACACGCAATCGTTCATGTCGGCTCATTTCCTTTTATGTTTTATGTCTTTTATTCATTTATTTGTGCCTGATGCTTTTCGCTGCTGTGGATCAGGACGCATCACCTGTCACCTGCTGACAGCAGGCTGCTGTCTTTTCCGAGGACTGCATCTTGCCGGTCATTATCACATGACAGCGACTAGTCGATGACAGGCATAAAAAGTCACTCTAGAGTGGCGAAGTTGACTAGTGACTAGTTCATACAACCCCTGCTACTGCTCCCCAGAGTGATCTGCAGCATAATCAATTCAATTCAATTTCAATTCAAGTTTATTTATATAGCGCCAAATCACGACAAGAGTCGTCTCAAGGCACTTCACATAATAAAAATTCCAATTCACAGTTCATTAAGCCAATCAGAAATAATGTTTCCTATATAAGGAACCCAGCAAATTGCATCAAGTCACTGACGAGTGTCAGTGACTATACAGCAATCCTCATACTAAGCAAGCATGCAGCGACGTTCTCTTTGAACTTGATATCAAATTTTCGCCTCCTTTTCGTCTCTGCACGGTTAAAGTTACCCTCGCGGTCTATCACTGGCAAATCAAAAGTGAGACGGATGACACAACCGCCCCCCGTACTTGATTGTTACCACATTCCACCCGGCCACAATAAAAAAACGGCCATTATTCACCTCCGCCGACTCCGGCACCGGCCAAAATATGATACCCGACAGTTAATTAAATACAGGCTAATATTGGAGGATTTACGATATATATATATATATATATATATATATATATATATATATATATATATATATATATATATATATATATATATTATTGTTGTTGTTTTTATTTCTTTATGGCTTTTATCAGTCATTACAGCATCAGCCGTCTGCTTTTCTGTGCAAAAGTCCCGACAAATCATCCATATCCAGGCCTGTTATGGCCTTCTCGTGAGCTAGATTGACTACATTTCTTTGTCTCTCGTGTAGTGTAGTACGGCGTAACGGGGTAAGAACACAAGACAATGAGGGGAAAGTGTCATGAGGTGGTGAAGTGATCTAACCCACGACATACAGAATCAGATCGGAGACGGTTTTAAAAGGTTTAAATAAGGATTTATTGAAGGGAAACCAAGGGAGCAGCGTAACGAAGCTGAGTTCTTGCGCAGGGAGGCTGGTGCGGGAAAAGGTCTGGAGAGGTGGGAACTGGTTTGAGGGAGGAGTGGTCCGGTCTGGGTAGCAGGGACTGAGATCCAGGAGTGAGACGTGGAGGGAGCTGAGCTTGGGGAGGTCCAGGAGGGTTAGGTGGGCAGCTGGAGGTGGTTCTGGCCAGGGGAGAGGCTGAGAGACGAGCGGGGTTGGAGCTTCAGATGATGCGGGCTCCAGAGTTCTGCCAGTCGAAGATGAGTGTGGAGGTTTTGTGTGGAGACAAAGCAGGAGGTCAAAAGGTAAAAATCCAATATCTAAAAACACATCTAGTTCTCAAAAAGTTAAGAGCTCAAATAAGTCACACGAGTGGCTGTTAGAAGGTACCCAGGTAGAGTAATCATCCAGCGAAGTGTAGGAGTCTCCCAGCTGCTTAAATACCCCTGGCCAGCTGATGAGCAGATCTGCTGCAGCTTGGTCACCTCCAGACACGCCCACCTGCAGAGGGAAACTCAAAAGACAGGGTGTGACAGCAGGGAAATACCTCAGACCGTGACAGTACCCCCCCCTCAAGGGACGCCACCCGGCGGCCGAGCAGAGGAGGAGGAGGAGGAGGAGGAGGAGCGGGCCAACTCGAAATCCCGGATGAGAGAGGGGTCATCGATCCATGACCGCGGGACCCACTGTCGATGTTCCGGACCATAACCCTCCCACTCGACCAGGTACTGGAAACCCCGGCCACGAGGTCGCACATCCAGAAGGTGCTGGACACGGTAACCGAGGCCCCCGTCAGCGAGACGCACAGGAGGCGGAGGGTCGACAGGAGGGCACAGGGAACTGGAGATGACAGGCTTAAGAAGGGAGACATGAAAAACGGGGTGTATCTTCATGTGGGACGGCAGATCCAAGCGGACGGAGGACGGGTTGATGATAGCTGAAATCGTGTAGGGACCGATGAATGTGGGGGAAAGTTTTTTGCAGTGGTCCTTCAATCTGATGTCCCTGGTGGAGAGCCAGACGCGCTGTCCAGGCGCATAGTCTGGGGCAGGACGCCGGTGCCGGTCGGCCAGACGCCGGTTGCGTTCTGCAGTCCTCTGTAGGGCCTGTTGCGTGGCCGCCCAAACCCGCCGGGCCCCCTTCAGGAACTGAGGAACGGAGGAAACTGTGGAGGGAAATTCAGAAGGGAACAAACCGGGTTGAATACCTGTCGAGGCCTCGAAGGGGGATAGTCCGGTGGCGGAGGAGACATGGGCGTTATGGGCGTATTCGATCCATGGAAGGTGGGTACTCCAACTGGAAGGGCTAGAGGAACACAGACAACGGAGCATGGCTTCTACCTCCTGGTTTAGTCTCTCGCATTGGCCATTTGACTGCGGATGAAACCCAGACGTTAGCGCCACCTTAGCTCCTAAGCAGATGGCAAAGTCCCTCCACACCCTTGAGACAAACTGCGGGCCGCGATCTGAGAGTATCTCTGCAGGGATGCCATGGAGCCTAAAAACATGCTTAACAAGCAGAGTGGCAGTGTCAGCAGCAGAGGGTAGAGCCTTTAGCGGCACTAGGTGGCAAGCCTTGGAAAAACGATCGATAATGGTCAAAATAACAGTAAAGCCTCGGGAAGGGGGAAGACCGGTGACAAAGTCTAGTGCAATGTGGGACCAGGGCCTGGAGGGAATGGGTAGC